GACTAATACCATAAATTAACATGCAAAAGTTAAGTTATCGATGCTACTGAAACAAGTTTTTATCGTTTAGTGTTTGTGGAACCTGTTCTCTTGTGAATTATACAGAGTTGCTTTGTTTGACTATTTATACATGGTCGCTTTCTCAATGTTTTTATGACACAGAGAACGATGAAATGTGTACGCGAAATCTTAGAATCTTGGGTCGGGTGTATCAAAAGTGTAAGTTTTTGAGTTACCTGTTTATTTTATACGTAATGTATCCAGGAAAGGACAAGTTCCACCTTCACCCTACTAGAAATTCAACATTTTTTTTTATTTTTTATTTTGTGATGAAGAAACTTCCTTCATCACTTATTAGGAGTTTGTTCAAGGATACCCTCTTGAGTTTTGAGAGTAATAATTGGACTCATAATTACAATAGCAGGTAAAATTGTGGGATTTTTTTTTTCTTTCGAACGGATTTACATTCGAGAGCGAATGATTCGAATATCAAATCAGATATACTTTTCAACTTGATTTATAATTATTAAATCATGAGATTCAAGTATATAAAATTTATTTTAAAATATAAAAGAGGCCAATGATAAGTGGGTAGCTATACTAAAGCGCTAAAATTCTAATATTACATATTATTATAAATTTGTAATATAATATGTCATTATATAATTAATTTTTTATTTAATAATTTTTTTAAAATATTATATATATTTATTTAATTTTACATCATAATTATAAAATTTATTTAATTTTACATCATAATTATAAAATTATAAATTTACGTAATATTATAATTATAGTCAATTACCATAAGTACTTGCAATCAATGTTATTACATTAGACCATATTAAGTTAGCATAAATATATATTTTTAATATAAGTTGCATTTTTTTTATTTAATTCAAGTATTGAAAGTATCAAAACACTTTAATTCTCCTTTTCGTTCATTTATTAATAATATTGAGATCATTTCAATACCTAAATTGTTTTAAAAAAAAAAGGGAGCAATTTACACTTAAAAAACACATGTCTCTTAAGTTAATTAGTAGAAAAAAAAAAGATTTTGTGAGCCTTTATAGGTTACCCAAATTCTGTATTCGATGCCTCGTGAAGCTTAAAAAGGAAGATGTATTAAATACCTTATTCTAATTGTCCCAGAGAACAAAGTTAAATGAATTGGATTCGCTTTGCTTATAAAGTTATAAACATACCACATTCGTACTAAATAATTTGTTTTTGAACCCAACATGTGATTATGGCAACCTTCAATTGCAAACTTCTTTATGTTAGCCCTTACCACTACAAACTTGTTAAGTACATTTAAGCCTTTACCTGAACTTAAGAATGTCTGCCAAAACCTTAATTAGAACAAGCTAAAGTTTTCTTGGTTTCTTTTGTGTTTTTAGGGGAGGATTGAATGCCCATGTAGCTGCTCCTAAGTGTTTCTTACTTTGATTTGTCAATATATATTTAGGTAGATGTGTTTTGAATTTTCTTCTGAATCATTCAATGCAACATATAATGACTGCTTTTCCTTTTCAAAGCTGAACTTTCCTCATGTGGTATCTTTGAATTTTTTGTTTAAAAATATAGACTGAGTTTACTTATATAAATGCATGTTCTTTTATATCGTCAAAAATTGATCATTCAAGTGGTGGTTGCCAAGTATGTTTAGATTAGTCAAAAATCCAAACTTGGTCTTGAAGATTGGGAAAGTGAAATAAAGTATTCTCATCCCTCGGTCAAGGGTCACTGACCCTGCAAATTGTGCAATGCCAAATTGCCAAGGTGCCATTTATGACACATGCCAAGACTCAAATTCCCTTTGAATGAAACTACATGCAGTGTCAGGTTCTTTGGAATGAGTATAATCTTATAAGAATTCACATTCGATGCAAGGGGATAGAGAAAAGAAGGAAAGCAATACATGGATTGTTGAGGAATTGGGTTGCAAAAGCCTACCCAAGTGACTGAAAACTCTGCCACTTGTGGAATCAAAAATGGACAAGAGCACGCTGCTTTAAAGCAAGTTTGACTAAACTCAGGGAGACAACCAAAAGGTAAACTCAGTGGATTGTGCAGTCAATTTTGGACAATATAATCTGCCCTGTTTTGCAAATTTCGTTCACAAATTCATGAAATTGAAGAAGTTGGAAGCAAACTACCAATGACAATGATTCACATGCAATAAGTGGTACTTAAAGTTGTGATTACATTGCATGCCATCATAAACAACCCTGCCCGCCAGGTCTTTTTTAAGCTTGTTGGTTGGGGAGTAGGGACCATTTCACTTAATTATGCTACCTATTTTGATGAATCCCTGCATGCTTGAACTAATATTTTTCAGCTTTACGCAATCTCCGCACGTAATAGTAGCAGCGACAACAACAATAATAAAAGCAGCAGTTTAGTTTCTCTAACAAGCAAAGAATATAGCATACATTCATATGAATGTAGCAACTGATGCTCTG